CAAACACAATGTCCGTGAAATTCAATTAATAAAAATAGAAATAAAAATGTCAATTACAGGTTAGTCAATATTTATTGTATGTCAATCTTACTATTTAAATACTCCTTGACTGAGTAGAAACATTTAATTTTAAGCCAGTTTGATAGTTTTCTTCTAAATATATTCAAATTAAGTTTAGTAAACGAATAAGGTAATCTATTATAAATTATCACACAACTGGGATAACAGTTTCTTTTAAATAGGGCGGTGTGCATTTTGGGTAACAAGAGCTTTCCAGGATATCTGTTACTTCTAGTAGAATTTATATCTTTACGTGTGAACAGACATGGGTGAGTTTTTACAAAAACGCAACATTCCAGAATATACAGCGAAGGAAGAGTTAATAAGTTCAGTTTCGGAAATAACTGTTTACACGACGTCAAAGGTGGTACATTACATATAGCTCGTACGCATTGCTTTTGAGATATAAAAGCCCTATTCAAATCTATTGAGTTTCCCCAAAGAAGTATTCCATATCTGAGATTGGATGCTACGTATCCATGATATGCAATTAAAGAAGCTTTCTGATTTATTTGCGTCGTTAATCGCCATAATGCGTATGAAAACCTGTTTATTTTGGTGCATACTTTCTTAATGTGTGCTTTCCATGAACATTGACTGTCAATTGCTATACCCAAGAAAACAGCATCGTTTGATTCTTGTATAGCTTCATTATTAATAAGTACAGTCAAGTTGTTTAGTTTGGGTTTTTTATTATAGAATCTAATATATTTTGTTTTATTTATATTAATATTTAAATTGTTCTTCATAAGCCATTCTGTAATCTTGTTAATTGTGTTATTAATGTCATTATTGTAATTTACGTTTGGGTCTTTAGGTATCACTACTGATATATCGTCCGCAAATAAATTACATTTATGTCTAGTCACACCAGGAAGGTCATTAATGTAAATAATAAATAATAATGGTCCCAAGATAGTTCCTTGTGGAACGCCTATGTTATTTACCATGATTGAGGACTTTGATACAACTTCCTCTTTATTTTCGTTAACGTATTTAATTTCAACATACTGTGAGCGATTTTGTAAATAAGTTTGTAGCCAATTTAATGCATTCCCTCGTATACCATATTTCTCAGATTTGGATAAAAGTATATTATGCGAAACAAAATCAAATGCTTTACTCATATCAAATAATACCACCATAGTATCAATATGGTTATCAATATTTTCTGTTACATTTTTTATTACGTTAAATGCCGCTAAAGAGGTTGATTTACCTTTTCTAAAACCATTTTGTTCTTCAGCTAGTATGTGGAATTTTTCTAAATAGTCATAAAGCCTAGTGTGCATTGCTTTTTCAAAAATTTTTGCCAGTACTGGTATTAAAGCAATGGGTCTGTAATTATCCATTCTGTCTGTTTCGCCTTTTTTATGTATAGGTTTTATAATTGATAATTTAAGAGCCTCAGGGAATGTGCCTTCAGTCATTGATAGATTCACCAAGTAACTTAAAACCTCTGAAAGGATAAGAGCGCAGTATTTTAAAACTTTCGTGGGTAATTCATCATATCCTACAGATGATGTATTATTGAGTGACATAATTATTTTAAATATTTCATCGATTGAAGATGGATAAAGGAATAAGTTAGTATCTAGGGACGTTATGTCATTATAAGAAGTCAAATTGGTTTGTTTATTAAGATTGGTAAAAAATACGTTAAAATTATTAGAAATGTCAATAGGATTTGTTATATCAATGTCATCAATTTTAATTTTATTTATTATATATTTATTATCTAGCTGTGATTGATCATATGATTTGATGAGATTCCATGTTGTTTTACATACATTTTTACTGTTAAGTATGCGTAATTCACCGTTCAGTCTTCTTGAGTTATTAATACATTTTTTCAAAATAGAAGAATATTTTCGATATCTTCTTTTACTGGACTGAAATTTGTTTACATAGTAATGAAAACGTAGTTTTCTTTTTGTTACACATGATCTCTTAATACCATTTGTTATCCAGTTACAGGCATTTAATTTATTTTTAAGTAATACATTATTGACTGTAAAGCATAAATTAAAAAACATTATCAGCGTTTCATGGAACAAATTAAATGAGTTATTAAGATCTGTGTTTTCATATATTTCTAACCAGGACAAGTTTGACAAAATTTCAGCAAATTTTTTCATATTGTTCATACTAAAATCCCTTTTGTAAACGTATTTTATTTGATATTTTTTGTATTTATTTTTCACTGAAAAAGTAAGGGTTTGACAAGTATCATGATCTGATAGCCATATGGAATGTGTCTTTAATTAAAAAATATTAGGGTTTGATGTTGGTATTCGATAAAGACAGATAACTATGCATTTTATCTGAGGAATTTCAATGCCACAACATTCAAACGATTCTTCAATAGCTAGTTCCTTTATAAATGGAATTTTCCTGAATCTATAGTAATCTTTGCATAAGATGCATACGCCACCCCGTCGGATCCTAGATCTACTAAAATAATCAGCTAGGCAGAAACCACTTAAATGGAGGTTTCTTTCCTCTCCTGATTTCATAAAAGTTTCACTAAAGCATATTATGTCTATTTCTTGCCCGTTTTCAGAAAACTCGTTTAATGCAATCTGAAATATGTCACATTTGCTCAATATACCAGCTATATTTTGATGCAATAAGATCAATGAATCACTACAGTCATTTCCGAAAAAACAAGTCTCTTTTTGATTCGGCTACAGGAGAAACATTTTGTGCATTGTTATCATTTTTTTTATCAGTAATAAATTTGGAAGGCGTCGAATTGGTATGCTTACGTAAATGTTTTTTGTACGGAACTCTAGGAAAGAAATCAAGTAAAGTAGTTTGTAAATATAATATGTCTTTTTTAACTTTCACTAATCACCACATCACGATACAATGGTTCAACGCCATCTTATCTTTTTTGTCCTTATACCAATATTATCATAGAGAGACACAGAGTCAATATACATCATATAATAAATGATAGCAACTGAAACAAGATTTAAGCTAAATCTATACTAATATTATAAAGTAATATTAAACGCGCTAATCTCAGGAACAACTGGTTCGAATTGAAAAATTCTTTTTGTGTGAAATAGACCATTTAACGAGGTATATAACATTACGCTGCAACTATTAGGAGCGAAGAAATAATGGAAAACGCGGACGAAGTCGCTGGCGACCACTAATATGTATATATAAACTTTAGCTACTTGACTTAAGGTCTGAACAAATTATGCAGGTAATGATTTCTTACATCTGTTTATTTCTTTTATGATTCACCAATCCAAAATCCAATAGACGAAGAAGTATTTACTTATGACCTTACATATTTCCTTCAAAGAATACGACAAGCATTTGTTGTTTTTTTTATTTAAAATAATTATACGGATTCGTTAATATTCAATAACTATAGGAAACAGTCTTTGAATTGTTGCCATTTGTTTTATGACGACATGACAACCTTCTTAACAGTGATTCGCAACCCGGTTTCAAGGCATCGCAAAGTCCCGGGTTCGATTCTCGGTGGGGTTAATGTATTAAATGTTTTTTTTTTCTATATTGTCTCGGATATGTGTGTTATTATACTTTTCGTTGTCTCTGATACTCCATAATACAGGGACTTCAACTACTCATCTTGGAATCTGGGCAATGTATGTGATATTGTGTAATATTTATATTTATTTAATTAGATTTATATATTATGATGACGCTACTAAAGTTCATAATAATGTTCGATTTAAAATGAAATGAAAGATACGAAATACTTTTAATAAAGAAGAAGAATTTATATCCTTAAAATATATAACTTTACTAAATAACTATATAACTAACGCAAACACTCACGTTCCATAGATAAATAGATTCTTACCTTTATGTTAAACAGTGACAATAGTGACTGACACTGATCTCCTCCAATAACATACGTTAAAAAGTTACTTACGTGTAAGTAACTATAAGATATTTACTTTTATCACCACCCTTAACGATTAATTGTTCAAAATTTCATGATTGGACCAGTATCTCCGAAAACTATATTAGAATAGAATAGATTTAATATGAATTAATCATCTTGATCTCCAAATGTGACTTACCTTTTCTGGTATACGTACTACAATATCTATCTACTCTACGTAGCGTCGCGAAAGAAACCTGAAAAGTAATAATGTAATCTTCTGCTATTTGAAGTTTTAGTGTTAATAATAATATAATTAATTTTGGATAACATTTGGATAATTTTGCATTCACAATGCTTTATTGAAAAAGTAGTTTATGCAACTGTAATATAAGAAGGGGTAATAAAACACGAGATTCTGGTTTTTTTTTCATATTCAGCCTAAAACCATAGGCTAGTTTAATTAATAAAAAAAGATAGCGGTACTATAATGAGTTTTATTTTTTATTTCATGTATTAAGCGTTTATAAAGTGCGTATGTATAGAATCGTCTTTTCGAATTTTTCGTTTTGAGTGTAAATAAAATATTTTTCAATACAATTCAATCCAGGCGATTGCAAAAGGTCATGGGTTCGTGTCCCATCTCAGAGTTCCAGGGATAAATTGGATTTTTAAGCATTTCCCATTAAGAATATAATTCATTTATTTTAAAAAAAGTTCACAATAATTAGTATACCAAAACGAACATCATTTTTTTTATAATTAAGATAAACATATTAGTAATTAAATCTCTTTAAAAACTTAGAGTCTTAGGGAGCTTTTGTCTTCCCTCCTAATTGTCGATTGCAATGTTGATAGAATTTAAACTTGTTAAAACAAAAGTCAAATACAATTTCGTTTTAAATTACAAATTGATATGGTATCTGGTATCTATCTCATACATCATCATCAGTCTATTTATGTCCCCACTACTGGTCTGGCCTTACAGACTTCTTATGCATCCGAACCTTCCAAAACACGAAGAAGCTCGAGATAATATTTTTTTCTAATAATTCTTTTCATTTTGCAGGAAACCAACAACAGGCAGTTTGTACGTGAACGGGCGGGTTAGAAATGAAAAGAGCTTTAGACGTAGAAGCTGTTACATCCTACAGGATGACAGAGTTCAAGATGCACTAACGACACGTGAATCTTTAACTATCGCCGCCCAGTTGAAGCTCGGCAACCACGTCAACAGCGAGCAGAAGAGGCGAAGGGTTGGTAAATTACTTTCACTATACTTTATTTAGAAAAGTAAGAACTTTTGAATCATTGGAATCATTTCATAATTAATCGTAAGTTAATTTATTGTTATAAGTATAATAATTATATTAATAAGAGCTTAATTACCTCCTAGAGTATATGATAGATTATAATGCAAAAGCTTCTATGTATCCGCAATAACCAAAAGTAACGATTGACTTTCAACATTCACAGAACGTTGCTTTTTTACGTACACTCTAAAAAATGGAGGCCAACAAAGAGCGATTTTCTCTTGGTTGACATAATATTGAATAAAACAATTACTTATTTACATAAATCAATCAAAGCTGAAACATTGAAACAACTAGTTAAAGTATGGTTAAATTAAAAATTTAGTAACCCTGATTAATTCTATCAAATATATTTATCGTATCTAACTAAGAAAAGCGAGTGCCAACAAAGAGTGACTTTGTTAAATCAATCCACACAAACTTATCAAATTCACTTTTCAACCAAAAATCACTTTTCTTCTGTTGATAGATTATTGTTTTTTTATTTTTAGTTTTTCGTCTTTATCCGACGGATAGCCGTTATATATTAGTCTGGCACGATTATTTAAATGTTAGCGATTATATATACACAGTAAGATCAATTATCAACACTTAAGACTTTGTTTTCACTTTCGCAAAACTAATATTAATAAATATCGGGAAATATTTAATTTAAAATTAAATTAAATCAGCTATAACGATTTGACAACCGTACATGCCAGTGTTGCCGCCAGTGTCAAATATGACGAAGCAAGTTTGTGACAAGGTCGCTGCAATATTGTTATGGTAAATATGAAGTTTCAAATTTGCGACATTGTTATGAAAAGATACTTATATGTAACACGCCCATCATCTTCATAAGTGCCCGAATAGTTCTAAGTCTGCAAACTAGATGGCGTTGTGCATCGCGGTGTCAGTTTATATCGTTAGATTGTATAAGTAATATGCCGTTTAAAGTAATCTTAATATGTGATTCGAAACCAACCATTCCAGTTATTTACTTTAGCTCTTTGGCTAGGCTCTGTGCTGTGGTCCGAGTTTAAAGTCTCACTCGCTTTGGACCAAAAGTTCAGAATGATCAAACGGCAAAAGTGATTGGTTCTCTTGGTTGAATTGCCATTGGTACATTGGTCGGTACAATCATATCTCATGCTTAAATTGACCAATCTTTTGGCCAAATTAACTTCGGTAAATTGTTTTGAACAACCAAGTTTCATATAAATATGGACCAACATGTTGGTTGAATTAAATTTGGTAAATTGGTTAGTACAACGATGTTTCATGCTAATATTGACTAACCTATCGGTTGAAAGAACTAAGATAAATTGGCAAGTACAATCATATTTCATGGTTAAATTGACCAATTCTTTGATCAAATTAACTTTCGTGAATTGATTAGTTTAGCCACGTTTCATGTTAATTTTTACCAACCTCTTGGTTAAATCAGCTGTGGTAAATTCTTCATACAGTCACATCTCATAGACATATCGACTACGATCTTATTTAAATTGAAGACTAGGAGGTAGTTGCTATAGTTATTTATAATGATCAAATTGAATGAAATCTTAACTATCTTAACAAAGTAACTTATAGTAAAAACCATCTTATTTAATGTATCTAACATCTTGTCAGGCTCATATGGAAACAAGATGCTTGGTCACATATATCACAATATTGTTTGATATAACAATATTTTTAGAGTGTAGAAGTGTTCATACGTTATTTATCTCAAGAATTAAACCAAAACTTATGTTTCTTATATTCTATACGACCGAACAAATATTTATAAAAATCATTAAACCATTCAGTAATTCTTATTATTTGGTTTATTAACATTTACTCTTCTGCAGAATAAAGAATAATTAAAAGTAAAAAATTATATGACATACCAATTATTTGACATTAAATGAAGTTCCAAATGAAAAGCAAATTAACCATACATACTCAAAATTAATTCATAATTTTCATTACCAGCCTTTTAATGTTTCCAATGTCAAGACATAACCCTAAACATCGCACGTGCCCTACGCTGTTGAATTGCTGATGAAGAAGGGATCATCAGCTTAATTTCCTTTTTCCTCGGAGCGTGATATAATCTGTAGATAATATTTTGGTCTTCGCAATCACAAATCAAAACGTACCTCGGCAAATCGTAACACCAAAAGACAATGCGCGTGCACATGCTGCCTACGTAAAATCGATTAACCATGTTTGATAATGATGATAATTGAATCAGTTCCGTTAGCCGATTAAACGCGCAATAAGCCGGTGTACAGTAGTAATTTAATGAACATCAATAATGACGTGTATTATTTGATTAATAACACGAGTATTCTATATTCTACGACTGCACTTCATAATGCGATACGGTTAATTTCTGTTAATTGTCTATCGATGTTATCGACGAAGAGGGTGACGAGGAATGGTGTGGGCACAGGTGCGAAAATAAACAATTTATCTTCTCAAAACTATATTGTCCACAAAACAAATATTCTCGTCAAAGCACGTGACAATCTAAAAAATACCATATGTCAATCCCAAAACAAAAATTAAATAAAAATCAAATATAATAAAAAAACTATAAAAACAAAGACAACGTATAAAAATAGGTCGGTTCAGCTGACGATCCTCAACATCCTCCCCTCTATTAATCGGTAAATCTGAGACTTGGACGATGCAACTTTGCCCGCGTAAATTGAAGCCTATATCACCCGCGTTTGATGCTTCCCGTAGGTAAAGGAATTTTCAATATCGAATAAGGGGGCTAATGGTAATTTTATCACGTATCGCTATCCCTTTCAATCTAATATTTAAAAGATAACACGAACTTCTCTCTACAACTATTCGATATGTGATAGCGAAACTGTTACATGTCAAATAATTTAGCGAAGTTTTTTGAAAGATGTTGAATGAACGATATCATTGATTTGACGTCATTTGGAATTATCTTAGGCAAGGGTTAGACGCAAATATCTATAGGCTATTGAGAAATGTCACACAAAAGAGTTGAATGCTAACTGCAATATTTCGACGTGTGGTAAGTTTCTATGATGTTTCTTGATCATTCAATCATCGTTCGTTCCAAAAGTGATTCAACTTAAAACGTTTTATTTTTTATTTTATTTTATTTTATGATATAGCGCTTGTAATAGATATTTATGGAATAATTTTTACGTTAAATTATTCCATAAATATCTATTACAAGCGCTATATCTTTGAAAAGGATGGCGAGAGATTTTGAAATTAGAGAATTAGCCCACAGTATTTCCGAATATTTCTACAAAGTTAGAAAAGATACTAATTTTGACTATAGATAATATTACTTTAATCTGATATGTATATGCTATGATCAGACTAATTATGCTTATAAAAACACTTTTGGGTTCAACCATTTCCGTTAGATTGACTGGCAGACTACTCACTTGTCTGCGAGTCATACTAACTCACTAACTGTTTTGAGGTCACCAGCTAAACCGGTCCCGCTTGTTTTGCTACTATTTTGTTATGAGTGTAATGGCGTTGGTCCGTCACAATCTTATCTGTATATTGACATTGTTTTCCTACATTATAGCAACGTGATCAAAACGATACATTAGCGGTTTCAGTAATGTTTATTAATATGATGACAAAAATAATATTAACTTCCTTGATTCTTTGTATCTGTTTATTTTGTTGAGAAATTTCTTTAAATTATTTTAATAAGTCTTTACTTATCGGTATATTATTGGTTGAGCCGGCGGCATTCGTATAGTAATATCTTTTATTACTTCTATTTTAAATAGGGCACATGACCCAGTTTTGGTGCCTGGCCTGCTTTTGGCCATTTGTGACTTTAACGCGTTCTTATTTACATGACATATTAGAAAATATGAATCACCGTTAAAATGTTGAATTGTAGCAAAGCTTATATCGTATCTAGGTACGATGTATCAAAATTGATTTGTTCCTCAATTTTAAAATTGCCAAAATTAGAACATAATCTTAAAGTAGCTAACGAGCTCGGTCTGCAATATGGTTGTTAAGCAACTTTCGCAATGCCCGGTCATAGGATAGGTGACCAAAAATATATTATCTCCAACTCCTTCGTGCTTCAGAAGGCACATTAAGCAGTTGGTCCTGGCTGCAGTCGTTAATCCGCATTGGGCCCGCGTGGTGGTTCATGGCCCATTCTTTCTATTCGATTCGACTCCATCTATTCATTTCATTTCATTCATTCAAAGAACTTTGATACATGATCATTAATATTAATATCTATATATCTATTTAATATCTATTTCAGAAAGAGATCATCAATATCTGTAGGGAATGCCTGAACCCCAGCAGTGGGGACAATAATAGGCTAATGATGATGATGAATCTTAAAATTGTTATAATCCAATCCTCTGGCCTACAAAAATATTGAGGTCATTTAAATTAAAAGTGAAAAATATATCCATTTGCGTTGATTTTACGAAATACGGTTAGCGCCGCACACAGATAACGTATTCTGTCAATGAAGCGGAAATTGAGTTACTTTCGCAAGGGCCGGTGACCGATGAGTAACCAAAAATTTACTATCTCGAGCTCTCCTGTGCTTCAGAAGACACGTCAAGCCGTTGATTCAATTTATGTGTGTAGTCATTAAAACCCACCAAACCGCAATGAGTCCGCGTCGTGGGTCAAGGTCCCTTTATGACCCACCACGTGGATTCGATTCCACCCATAGAGAAGGCCTGTACCCCAGCAGTGAAAACCAAATCCTAAAAAAGAATCCAAAAGTAGAGTTCTCTTAATTATTCCGCAACGCATGTTAAATAAACTCTTTATTGTGAATAAGCAACAGTTTTAAGAGACATTATAACTTATGAACATGCTATTACCGAAGCTTAAAGAACTCAGCCTAAACGGATGCAGTCATTACTGGCGATTCTTCTGAATCCAATGACGACAAAACGTTATTCTCTATTCACACAACGGTTTCTTTCTCAGGTTCAAGAAATAATATCGTCTCTTGGTCTTAGCAGAGCACAAAACACGCGAGCATGCAACCTCTCTGGTGGACAGAAAAAGCGGCTGGCCATCGGTCTGGAGCTAGTTAGCGACCCAAGTGTCATGTTCCTCGATGAACCAACCAGGTACAGTAGAAATCACAGATGATGTATTTCTGTCACCGCAACGACAACAAATCCTAAAAAGCAGATTTAAACAAATATGTAAGGGTCATCATATACTCTCGCATATCGGACGAAGAGGAACATAGGAACTCGCGTTAGGGAACATGTAGCTGTCGTTAAACATAAAACAAAAATATGCGAGGCTATTGAAATTAAAAAAGATCCGAATTTTAATAGAGATGAAGGTTGGCATACACCACCGGCTTGGGATCCAGTAATTAGTCAAATAAAATCTCAATCCAGATCACACATTGCAAAACCAAAAGATACAGTTAGGTTATTCTGTAAATATTAAAACAAAGGGAGCAATTCACCATTTCTTGTAGGAGTTTGTTTCGCCAGTTCTTCTCAAACAAAACTCCCAAAGATGGAACTGGTAGTAGATTACGATAGTTAGGGGTAAATAAGTAAGTCAAATGTATTTTTAAAATAATTTATTAAATGTAAACGTTGCCATAAAACATAACGTTGCCATAATATTTGTATTGTGAATGTGTCCTATAGTGTCATTCTGTGTTTTATTTTGAACGGGAGTAGCGCGTTTATCTTTAATTGTCGGACCCTTCACATCTTAGTCAATACAGGTTCCGTGTTTATTTAAACGGAACCTGTATTGACCAAGACGTAAATTGTTTTTTTTTTCTAATTAAAAATCCTTCACCTTCAAACAATAAATATAGAACACAATCGCAGAACACAATTGTTCACAATGCTGAATTTAATATTTTTATGGAAACGTTTACATTTATTAAATTCAATTATTATTACAAAATATTTGACTTATCGATTTAATTTATTGTTCCTTTATTTACCCCTGACCACCATAAACTATCACCAGTTCCAAATTTTGGGAGTCTTCTCTGACAAGAACTGGCGAAAAAAAACTCCGACAAGAAAAGTGATTCTCCCCTTCCAAAAAAACAAATGAACAAAAAATTTTGACACTTCTTTTCCCACGAAAACTCAGCGTTAGATAGTTGTATTAAAACTGACAATAATATCAAATTAATTATGTATAAAGGATTATTACCATGATACTTGATGCTGACTGAAACCATTATCCATAGTCACATAAGAAATTAAATGATAAATAATACACCAACATCTAAATCTACATAAAATTCCATTTTCTTTGTAATGAGGAAATGTCGAGCTTCACAATCCTACATATCTTAGTATTTATTTTATATTACTACTATAATTATTTCCAGCTTTAATAATTATTATAGAAACCCATATAAGTAAAACCCCGCGTTGTGTTATGATATCAATTTGTGACATCTGTATAATATTATATTAATTAACTAGCTGTTTTCCCGTGACTTTTATGTCACCCTCGTATGCAGCTTGCAGATGAAAGAATTTATAAAATTAGCCCGGTAGTTCCGAAGCCTATTCGATACCACCAAACAAAGAATCAAATCTTTCCTCCTAATAATATTAGTATAGAAAAACAATAAGCAATATCGATGGCGCGGTGGTTAGCGCATTCTATCTGTGAAGACCGCCATTTTTATAATGGCGCCGCCTTTAGTCTCTGGCTGTGTGACAAAAAATTTGGTTATAAAATCTCCTCAGCAGCACTTCCTAAGGCATGTTTAGACATTAGTTTTAACAACATCTACAACTCTAATCGCATCCTATATAACATTGCTTATTAATAAAGTAATATAATTCTCAGCTCATACCTGTTCTTTATATTTATAGATTCAGAAAAAAACTGTTCTCTTGGTTACAACATGACTGACGACAAAAAAAATGATACAGTGTTACAACAAAAACAGACTGTTCCATCGTTACCATTAAAATAAATTGTCAATAAACGTAATTAAAAAGTCATAATAAACATTATCACAGTGTAATCTAAATATAGAATCTATAAAGACTTGCCCTTCAACATAATTCATACTATGACAATCTTTGTCCTGACTCCTGAAATACTGACTGATTGATTGACCGAGTTATAGACAACGCGTCGCCTAAACCGTTGGTTGCTGAGAAAGGGTATAGCCGGACTTCCATAATGAAACTGTTAACAGGAACCTATATAGTGACCTATGTTTTGTAAAGGGTAGTAATAGTAGTTGATTGATGTGGATATTAGCTCTGTATCTTAGCTAAATAAAGAGCTATTTGAAAAAAAGGCTCCGGTGACGACTTTTCTTCAAAGTAAAACATCTCTGTTATTTTTTTTAGATTGAAATAAAACCAGTATGCGATGTTATGATCTACTTTAGACTATTTCTAACACTCACTAGACTATCAGAAATACCAATAATAAAATCTTACTATCAATTTATGACTCATGTAAAATGGTTATATGAGATCTATGAGCGATTCTATAGAATGTATTCATTTAATGATTTATTTGTGTTGTTTTTAATTTGATTTTCAATTTTTTTATATGATCTTTAATTAATCTTCGTGACATTTTTAAGATATGACGATGATTTAATGTTTTTTAGATAACTGTAATGAATTTATTTTTGCTATAATTTTGTTTATATTTTGTTTTTAATTTATTGCATATTTTAATTTTCAATTTTTTATTTATTTTTATAAACTAAATTTTGATTTGTGTATATAAGTGTTAATGCTTGTAATAAAATTGAATAAATAAAAAATATATTAGCAATGTCACAGTGAAAGTTGTAGAAAAATCAAAATTTTGTCAATCGATTTATATCGGATGAAAAAGTTACCACTTTGAAAAAATTATATTAATTGTCTATATCTTGTCTGACAAGTTTCATTAAAATCTAAATGGTAACGTATCGACAAAAGTAATGAATTAAGTTGAACACCTTAGGAGCGCTATGTTGACGCTTTTCAAATCATTTCAATAGTTTTTGCAATTGAACCGCTACTTTAACTATTTGACTAGTAATAAGTATTATATGTATAATTCATGATGTTAATAAACCTACTTAAATATATTTTTGATCTACTTTTATAGTGGCTAAAACTATCAGCGAATAAAGACGTATAATCTTCCTACATGTTCTATTACTTCATAGTAATAATAAACTCTTATTATGTTGTAGCTAAATTGAAGGGCATCCCTTTAAGTGAGAATTTTATAGCTATAGTGGGAAAATATTATATATATGTCGCATCATCTTTACGAAGATCGTTTGATTTAGTTTCTTTTATTTTAATTGCTAGTTACTCGATTACTTAATTACTCCATTGTAGAGAGAACGTGATCATCGATACTTTTAATTTTATTAGAATAGTGACAGTGACTTTGACAGTTTGTTAATAAAAAGCTGCCGCCATTTTGGCAGACATTCTGTTTCCGATCGCCGAAGAGTAAAGACATCCGACGACATCAAGCTCATCTCGTTATATTTTCGTGTGAAAAGTGATAAAATGGAACAAATCCACGTTGGTATACACGCCTTCAATGTTATTTTAAAGATAGTCCCCTGATATGAACGATCTATTTGGGCTTCGTAATAGCCCCTTCGGACTACCCGCCGTTATATATATTCTGATTCTTAGCGCCAAATAAATAAATCTTTTTTAATGAAAAATACTTAAAAATCCACTTTGTCCCTGGCAGTCCGAGATGGGATAAAGTGGAGTTTTTATACATTTTTCATTAAGAATATTTTTCAATATAGCATTGTGAATGCAAAGTTAATCAAATATAATAAATTATTTTTATTTTCTTTCCTACATGTAGTTTAATTTCGTGTCGGTGCCAGCTGTGTCATTAGTATAAGTCTGTGGTATAAGTATAACAGCACTATCAGAAAATCTATTTTTCTCTAGTCATATATATTTTTTTTTCTTATAAATATAATATGTTTCGATTTTATTGAAGATAAAAATTTGTGAATTCATTTCTCTATTTTTCAGACGTTTCTTTTTATTACGACTTTGAAATCGGTTTAATTTTTTTATGTTTTTTATTTCTTTTTTAAATAATATAAGTTAGCGCTGATCCTTATTACTTGTTTGTAACTTATAATAAACTAGTGGCCGCCAGCGACTTCGTCCGCGTTTTTCATTATTTCTTCGCCCCTAATAGTTGCAGCGTGATGTTAAGCCTTCCTCGATAAATGGTCTATTAAATACAAAAAAAAATTTTGAATTCGAACCAGTAGTTCCTGAGATTTGCGCGTTCAAACAAACAAACCCTTCAGCTTTATAATATTAGTATAGATAGACACCTTCCTCTGTATTTAAATATCTTTTATTTACCAGATAAACATTTTCTGTGCAGTGCAGTTCAGTTCAGTTCTGTGCTATTTTCAGATAGCAGTTCTAACCTAACCTAACACACTATTCTTGAAGCAATTTTTTTTTAATGAAGTGAGTCCGCCACTGATTCAATGCCTAACTTTTCGAGAATCAAGTTGTCAAACATACAAAATATACACCAACAAAACTACGTTTAGAAGCGCATATAGACTATATGAATATTGCTCCATACTCCAACAAAATTTTATACATACAGTTCAAATTGATAACCTCATTTCTTTTAAGGTCGGCTTAAAAGGTACAAATCAAATTAAAAACCTTTTTTTGAAGTCGGTTAATAAGTTAAACGGATGGCCTCCTTTTTTTGAAGTTGATTAAAAAGAAGGTCATCAATTTCAACTCCTTTTATTAATAGCTTAAATTTTAATAGTTTATCTTAAACTATCTTATTATATCTTAAAACTACTGAACTGATTTTGATGAAACTTGAAGTGTCCCCTTAATTGAAAACCAAGTATTAAACAAAAAAAATCATGCAATCCGATCTCTAATTTACGAGATATGCGTGGACAAACATACAGAACATTTTATTATTTCGATTTTATTGAAGTTAATTTGTGGTATTATTTCTCTCTTTCAGTCGTTTCTCCTTATTACGTTTTTTTTTTAAGTCAGTTTATTATTATTTTTTTACCTATAGCAATGAAATTTGGTATTAGAATAGTTAAAGATCCTGGAAAGTATTTTATCATAAAAAGCAGAGTTTAAACGGATGAAAATGGGAAGATAAGTTTTAAGTCTGTATTAATTTCTAAATGTATACATACATATTTATAAAAATGATTGTTATACTACATTGTCAAACTATTAAGTATAGATGTACAACCATAAACTTTCTATTCCAGTGGCTTAGACAGTTCGATGTGCAAGCAGCTGGTGTTTCTCTTCCACCAGCTGGCTCGCCAAGGCCGGACTGTATTGGTGTCTATACACCAGCCATCCGCTGCGTTACTGCAGATGGTGGACAAACTCTACGTGGTGGTGGCCGGCAACTGTGCTTACACTGGCTCCGTACCTGGTCTGCTGCCTTACTTACAGCAAATGAATCTAATGTGCCCACCGTATCATAACCCTGTAGATTTTCGTAAGTATTGGTAAGATTTCTTTGTTTGAACTCAAGATCACAGTAGATGTTTTGACAGTGAAGCTAGCAAAGCTTCCATGGCTACTCTTGGCATCACTAATTGAAATAGGGTCGGTGTTGATTTACTCTGTAATATATTATATATGCTGAAAAATAATTTGCATGATCTTCTTTTGACAAATGCTTTTAAGGCATAAAAACTATTAAGCATAATTATCGATTGGCCGAATGTTTTCACGTCCGAATTTTGACATAATTACATTTGTCAATATTAGATTTGGTATAATTTTACTAAGCATAACAAAGAATACCGGCCAAGAGTTTAGCCTAGGTTAAAATTGCTACTAAAACATAAAACGAGCGTGCCGAGGCATCGTCCGGAAAACGTTTTAACCAGTTGGCTGCGACATATATAATATAAAAACTAAAACAGTCGTCATAAGCAATAGGTAATAAATATTAAACAGTAATTAATATCAGAACAAAAGTGGAACATCGTGCCTTATCATAGACTGAACTAGCATTGTTACATAGTGCCGGTTACTGCTCTTCCAAGCCCGGGTCTAAGATATTTTCGAATCGGGGAAAAAATTAATAAAGCTTTAACCTAGAGCTAGTTTTTTTTACAATTAACTCTTATGCCTTTCTCCAGCATTCGAGATAATTGAAAAATAAGCTTACACAAATAATTGATAGCATTTTTTCCTTCTAATTTTCCTAATAATATACCCTAAAAAAAATATTGGTAATAAATTGAGAAATGAGTTCTTTTTTTTTCAATTATAATGCGTATATTTCGCTACTTCAATGGCAATTACCATTTAACATTATCATCATCAGTCCTTTTACGTCCCCACTGCAGAAGATAAGTCCTTCCTTATGGATGATCAAGGAAGATAGGCCATGACTCCACGCTGGGCTAATATGGATTGGAGGGTATTAACGGTAGGGACCAATGGCTTAACGTGCCTTCCGAAGCACGGAATAGCTTTAGATAATATTTTTTGGTCACCCATCCTGTGACTGACCCTTGCGAAAGTTGCTCAACAAGATCTATCGTGGGCCGCGGCTCTTTTACGAGCTGCTCCAGCATTATCGTTTATTAAGGACGTGTAATTTTTAAATATACTTCAAAAGTTGTTTTCTTTACATTACAATTAATATAACATAATAATCTAAATACCGCATATATATATATTGAGCGCAATCCTTACAAATATTTAAAAAATATGTTAAAGAATACTACCTCACACAATAATATAACTTACTGCTGCCGTATTATCGCTTTTTCCTGTTTTGATATTAATAGGTGTATGTATATATTTATATATGTGTGTATGTATGTATGTATGTATGTATGTATGTATGTATGTATGTATATGTTGCTAATGAATAAATTTTTGCATCGTATTTATTTATTGTACATTTGTTTGTGTATTTAGCACAAAAATTTTTTTTTAGATGCTTTAAATAAATCATTGGTGTGCCTCAATGATGTATTGTTAACATTCACACCCCCATCTTCATTATTCATTTTATCTCTCTCCATCCACTGGTTGCCTGGAGAAAATCGAAATTAAGCGATAAGGCCGCCAATTGTTACATAATAGTGTTAATTTACTATAAAATTTTGTAATTCATTGTGTAATGTGAACAATAAAGAATTTTGTATTGTATTGTATATTAAGTTACACCTTGACATCTAACTGACATTATATTAGATAGAGTAGTGTGAGATACATGAAAATTATAAGAATGCACACGTACAGAAACTGTGAGGATATCAAAATCAGGAACATCCGCTAATTTTCGTAGAATGAATGGGCATTTTTTACATTTGAAAATAGTCCTATACGCCCATTACTTTAACTAGATACGAGGTCGCACTGATTTATCTTAGCAACAAGCATTTTATTGATATTCCACAAGACGGTAAGTGCGTGAAATAAGAAAAATAAAATGTACAAAAAAAGGTTGTGCTTTTTGTAAAATCCTAAATTTTAATTAACAACTAATGGATCGTTTTTTAGTATGACAATGGGATTTTGCCGGCTGCAATTGAGTAAAGTATAGCAAAAAAAGAGTATAGCAAAAATGACAATTTTAGTACCATAATTTTAAAACAATTTACGATCCACCCCGACTCACACTACTCACGCTGATTCATTATATTATATGTGATAAATTATATCAAAATATATATAATTATATTATAACTCGATGGCCCAGTGGCTAGCGCGCTCGATCTGCGATAAGTTAATCAACTTTCGTATTGGCCGGTCATATGATGGGTGACCAAACATATAGCCTCAGTAGTATATTATAAATGTCAATATCATACTACTGAGGGGACATTCATAAGCTGATATGGCGATATGTAATCATCATCACCGGCCCTCGACGTAACTGTTTAATTAATTGAAAACATAATTTATTGGTATTTGTACATTTATACTTGTCAATATATGAACCTATTTTAATATCTATATATTTAGGAAGATAGAGAGTCTTTTGAATTGTTTCAAGAATTATTTTAAACATATCAATTTAAACATTCGTTTATCTTCAACATATGTTTTTATGATATCGTTAACTTAAATTGTACAAAACCTTGTGTTATATCCCAAAACCCATCATAAAAAGTCATAAAATATGTATATATTAAGTAGGATAGTAGAAGAAGAATAGTAGAAGTCGTATATGTTACTAATATTACAGTTTTTGGCTTGTTAGTTTTTAGTTTACATAACTCGCGTTAAATAATATTATATCTAAAACATATTTGTGTCTAAAACTTGCCTTCGACAATTCCAATTAACGATATATTTCATACAATATCTTTAAAGAAAAAGTAAAGTCAAAAAGTCGCGGTCGCAATGGCTATCACATGTCAAATAGTCGTATCGTGAAGTTCATGGATATTGTTTTAATGTCCTTTAATCCCTTTCAACATTTAGACAATTAGGCCCCAGGAGACAACACATGGCCAAAACGAATAATTAATTAATTAAATATATGTATTTAAATGACAATGATTCATAAAATAATCGTTTTTGTTTCAGTTATAGAGATTTGTAGTGAAAATGTGGATTTATTAGTAACACATTCACAAAACGGAAAATGCGATGATTGGAGCAATCATATTTCTCATGAGACTGATGATAATTTTCTAGGTAAATATCTCAATTATGGTATTAATTAAACTGGTGCATTTCATGAATAGGAACTTACGATATTTTATAATAATAATAACTTTAGCAGAGCGATTCTGTAAAGTTTCAAATTTCAAATTCACTGATCTGTCCCAATTCACGTCATTTAGATTAGAAATTCTATTGATTAAATAGTTTTTAAAAATATACAAATAATATTGTTTGGTTCTTACGTATTTCAGATATTCTATGTTATTTCAAAACTCACTTCATAAGTGCCACGAAACTTTTTACCAATTCAAGGTTGAGCGGATGCCGCTTTTGAAGTGAATTTGGAAACCTGGGGAAATTCAAATTCGGATTCGGATGTTTTATAGAATCGCACACAATTTCGCTAACGTAGTTATGGAAATTGTTTTATGATAAGAAAGAGACCTAATCTTCAATCTGACATCACTCAGTCTGTTTTGCAAATGTATCGACCGTCGACTCTTCTATCTATAACTCTAGACGTATGGTACAACATTTTAGCGATGTTATAGTGCTTTTTCATTTCATTTTACAAACTCTGACAAGTACTTTAATAACGACATACGAATGTTAGATAATTATGAATATGGATTTGACGGCAGTGTTTCCAACTTAGTCATTTATCCTTAATTTATCCACCAAAAAAATGACAAAGAAGTAAAATGAAACGAATTATCGTCATAATATTCGCTATGGCTAGAATCATAGCTGGAGTATTGCGAGGATGTACCCCAAGACAAAAACAACGAAAGCTATGTGAAAATACCTGTCTTTAACTCGAAACTGTGGGGTTTTGAGACTTTCGAGAGTTTGCGAGTTGCATCTCGAAGCGCTCGGTAGAGAAATTTAAATGTCAAAATACGATCACAGATCAAATTTCTACTACACACAAAATAAAAATAAAAGTTATAATCAACATTCATTATAACAATAACGATAACTACAAAACTACATCAATATTTTTCAGAAAAAAATAATTTAAGAAGTGACCAAGTGTACCTGACTACGTTACCGCCTCCCAAAGAGGATCCAACTAATAAAATACTATTAAAATTGAAAAGCACATACTCCACACCTGTATGGAAACAGTTCGCTACACTCACAAGAAGATCTCTGTTGGTACGTAATTTTCACAAACGTTCGCACACTAATCATTTTAATTGTATCTTCGAGGTTGATCTAGACTAGAATCTATATAGTGACAGAAATTTATCAAATAACATTAAGAGACATTTGAAAGTAAAGCAATAAAAAGATTAAGAAGTATTAAAAGTAAAGGCCGGATACGTATGACGAGTCGGCCCCCAAATGGGAATCGATATTGAAACTTATGTTTTAATATCGACTTGATGTTCAAACACGATTTATGTACTTTTCGCGACCGACTTCCGCTTTGACCTTGAGATAGAGAGCAAAATATCCGTATGCTTGACTATTACTGAATGTGATATATCTCTAAAGCTAATTAAGATAAAGAAGTGAAACTAACGCGAGGTGTTAGGTTACATTACAGAGTATATCACATATATTTTTTTATAATTTTTAGAATAAAAAATTACATTAAAAAAATAAAAAATAAAAAAATCATGTTTTTTTTTCTGAGTTCTCTGTGACTTACAATCACGACATTAATATATGTTATGCTCCTTTGTGTGCTCTATTACCCATAAAAATTGCGTGAAAAAAAAGTTGGTGCAACACAACGAAAAAAAATTATATGTGATTTCTGTCTTATGGTATACCCCTGTATTATAAGGTTTTCACATAACATATTGTTTTTTTTTTCGAAATTTCACATCAGCTTGTTTTAAAACATAAGTAACTAGTCTTAAGAGATGGGATAATAGTTAAAAAAGAAATGAAAAAAAAAACAGCCAGTGTTCAATACTTATTATTATTACTTTTTCGTGTCTATCAAAATACAAGAAACAAAATATTAATCATCGTCACTGTTGTAATTAATTACAATCGGAACACTTTGAGTCGCAAATAAATTAGTTAGGACCTCAGCAGGACGTACGATTTTGGACAAATATCATCCATATGATAGATAATAAATAATAGCTGCTACATGAGAACAGCATCCCACTGTACATTTGCCATTGGGGCAATCACAGCAATAACGAAGAATACTATTGTAGTCATTACCTTCGGAAATATAGTGAATGTAAATTCGATAGACTTTTCTATTTATATGTCTTGATTTTACTTCTGCTTTGATGATATTAGGTGCTGATTTCACATATTGTACTGAGAGATTATTTTGATCGTCCATTATTTCGGCCAAGTTAAATGCTGCACATTTAGAAGTAGAAGCTTTTTTGTTAATATATGGGATAAGTCGACACTTCTTACAAAAAATATCATTAACTATTACGACTTTCACTAAACACTTTAGCTTCTTCTTCATTCTTTATAATTTTTTTATAACCAGGAATCTTACTAACTAACTAAGTTATTTGCGACTCAAAGTGTTCCGATTGTAATTAATTACAACAGTGACGATGATTAATATTTTGTTTCTTGTATTTTGATAGACACGAAAAAGTAATAATAATAAGTATTGAACACTGGCTGTTTTTTTTTCATTTCTTTTTTAACTATTATCCCATCTCTTAAGACTAGTTACTTATGTTTTAAAACAAGCTGATGTGAAATTTCGAAAAAGAAAACAATGATGTTATGTGAAAACCTTATAATACAGGGGTATACCATAAGACAGAAATCACATATAATTTTTTTTCGTTGTGTTGCACCAACTTTTTTTTCACGCAATTTTTATGGGTGATAGAGCACACAAAGGAGCATAACATATATTAATTTCGTGATTGTAAGTCACAGAGAACTCAGAAAAAAAAACATGTTTTTTTATTATTTTTATTTTTTTGATGTAATTTTTTATTCTAAAAATTATAAAAAAATATATGTGATATACTCTGTAATGTAACCTAACACCTCGCGTTAGTTTCACTTCTTTATCTTAATTAGCTTCAGAGATATATCACATTCAGTAATAGTCAAGCATACGGATATTTTGCTCTCTATCTCAAGGTCAAAGCGGAAGTCGGTCGCGAAAAGTACATAAATCGTGTTTGAACATCAAGTCAATATTAAAACATAAGTTTCAATATCGATTCCCATTTGGGGGCCGACTCGTCATACGTATCCGGCTAAACCCTTTGAGAGAATATTTTCAAGAAAAATTATGGAACTGTCAAGAAGGATTATTTAACTATTCATGTGGATGAGAATGTTAGGAAAAGAATGTCGAAGAATGTAAAGGATTCTTTACAGAAGTATTGTATAAAAAAATAATACATAATTAAAAAATTTTGAACAGGGTCAACGAATAAGGCTCGTGTAGTTATTAATTAAAAAAAATATTGTTCTGACTTCAAATGTAGTAAAAAAAAAATTATTTTATATGTTAGAAGAATCTGAGTATTATAAATTAATTAAATGACTAAGCATCCTAGCATATAGATACCTAATACCTTCTCAATAGTTAATATTATAAGTATAATGTACCATTTCAATGCCTTTATTTTTCAGTCGTTATGGCGCAGCCCCGCTTTCACCCTCATGATTACGGGCATTCACTGCTCCATGGCACTTTTCATTGGCTTCCTGTTCTACAACATCGGTGAAGATGCAAGCCACGTAAGGGACAGTTACAACATGTTGTACTTCAGCCTTATGTTCCTCATGTTCACGGCCTTCAGTTCCTCTTCAATTCATTGTGAGTACATTCAACAATATTATAATTATTTGATTGATCTATATAAATAAAAAGTTTAAAGATAAAAACAACTGAATATCGCTTCTCATTTGTATATAAAATCTATTTATTTGAATATTCACCGTCAACTATCACTATCACTATCATCAGCAGCCTTTTTTACGTCCCTACTGCAACTAACCTCCTTATGGATGGATAAGTAAGATGGGTCATTACCCTCCACGCTGGCCCAATGCATATTAGAGGATAACTTAATTAATTTTATGTGCATAAAACTATTGTTTTTAATGAACGAGTATCTCGTATCTTTGCTTGCTTAAGCTATTCACCATCGCCAGGTTCTTCGAAATGGGACACGAACCCTCAAATTTTCGCAATTCGATCAAGAAGAGTAATGGTTGTTGGTGGTTTCGAGCTTTGTTTTCATTTATTTACGCTCTGTGCACAGAATACACGCTACTTTTAACTGGGTTTTAAAGCTGCGTTATCCATTTAAAGACGAAAGCGACATTTTTGATTATGACGAATTATAATAATCTTTACAGTTCCTCACCAAATACCAGTTGTGAGACGGGAGCATTTCAATCGCTGGTATACCACGGGGGCGTACTACACATCAACATTGGCTTCCACGTTGCCAACACAGACAGTTTGCACACTCAGCTACGCGTTCATAGTGTACTTCCTTACCGGTCTACCACCTGATATTGTGCGCTTCACCACATTCTGTTGGACTTTAATGTTGGTGTCGTACGTTGCTCTCTGCATCGGTCTACTCAATGGCTCCATTTTTACTGTTAAGGTTTGTATAAAAGTTAATATCTCTAACGGTGCGGTATCAGCGATACCGTTCTCTTTGTTTGACGTCATTATAGTGACTCCGTTCTGTTGCTATTGGATAGTTTACCTGCGTCTATCATCATCATTATCATCGCCAGTTTGTTAATCTACCCACTGCTGGGGATCGGGTCTACCCTATGAATGGAATCCAATCAAATCAAATACACCCCCGTAATATCCAAACTTTTTATGTCTATGGTTTAAAACATGACCTAAAAGCCTTCTTATTTCGAAACTTTAAATTATTTTCTAATATGTAAAAATACATTTTTGAAATTCTTAATGAAAAAAAGATGCTTAAAAAATCCACTTTGCCTGGCACTCCGAGATGATTTTTTTAATGTCATTTTGTGATGAGAAGTCATAAATCATTTAGAATACGGGTTCTAAAATATAAAATATCTAATTGTTATTACAGTTGATATAATAATGAAAACCAGTGTGGGAATATAAGTTGGGTGGTTCCTCAGACTTGAATATACTAAGCCTGTCGTTTTTAGATTTTATTGGCAGCTTATTAAAAATTTTGATTGCCAGCTTATTAAAAATTGGCAGCTTATTAAAAATTTGAAAATTTTGATTTGATTGATGTAAAGTTTCCTGTTGTGTGATCGGTGATATGCGTTTTTCACAGAACAAGTATAAAATCCAAATTATAATACCTATGTATCATTCAAAAACTAATCTGTCTAGTCTAGCAAATACTATCTCGAAAAGAATACAAAGAAATCGTAAATTTTTAATACAGTCACTATTGTGGTTATAATTTTATAAAAAAAAAGTTTTGCCATACTTTGAGCATCGCTCTGGCGCCCAACGTGTGACCAAATAAAATATTATTTTATATTTCTAACGAATATTTTAAGACTACTTTAATAACATAAAAATATTTTTAAAACTAATTCTTTTCGGTGGTATAGCATCACAAACTGACACAAAAGAAACTCAACAAAGGGATTTTGACATACGTAACAATATTCTTAATGAAAAATGCTTAAAAATTCAATTTGTCCCTGGCACTCTGAGATGGTACTCGAACCCATGACCTACGGCAATCCGGGTGACTGCTCTAATTTTTAAGCATTTTACTTAAGATTATTTTTCAGTATAGCATTGTGAATGCAAAAAAAAATTTAGAACATATATACAAGATTCAAATATAGAGTTGATGATACCGCACCCTATATCTACAAAATGTAGACAGTTAAAATATTAATAATATAGGCAATTAACTTAAATGTCTGTAATATATATTTATTAATTTGATACATTACTCATTAATATTAGCTAGCGTTACAAATGCCATCCTGTCTAATCACAGAGAAAAAACATCCGCCATAATTCACGCAATTTACCGGTTTTGTTTCGTTCTTTATTTTACGTTAAAATAAAGTTTAATTCTCGTATCTTTGCTCGTATTATAAACGCTCGTAACTACAGAATTTATTTTATATTTCAGAACGGCGTCGTATTTGGCCCTTTCTTCATAATGCCATTCACAATCTTCTCAGGATTCTTCTTGCGGTACAGCGACGCGCCAGTCTTCTTCCGTTGGATGTTCCACATATCATTCTTGAAGCACGGTCTCGTCGGCCTCGTGGTCGCAATATTCGGCATGGACAGACCGAAAATGCCGTGTTCAGACCTATATTGTCACTATACTTACCCTCGGACATTCTTAGTTGACGTAGAAATGTCACAGGAGAATTATTCTCTGGTTGTCGGCGCTCTTTTCGGAATTGGACTAATCGTAACTATTTGTTCGTATATCATTCTAAAAATTAGACTAAAGAATAAATGGTGAATATTTTCACTTCAAATTTGGATTTAATAAGGTATTTTATAACTGCGAAAATGTCTGAATACAGATACCTTGAAGGCATTATTTGTCGGCACCGTCACAAATACCATTTTCTGTGAACGCTGTCAAGCTAAGATGACACCTTAAAAATAAGACATCGACCAACTTTCTAACTTTAATCATACCAAATAATTGTTTATATTTCAATAAACATCAAAATTTATATTTATCATAATTTAAATCAGTTTAATTTTATTTGGTGTTAGGTAAAGGTATAAAGAGATAGACATAGCGTCTAAATACAATAAGTACTGTGTACTTAAACTGTGATGTAGATCAATTTTGTTTTAGTTTATAAATGCATATTATAAAAATAAGTTAAATATCAATGTAGTAACATTATGTTCTTTATAATAATTTTTAATTTTATTTTGTACAAAATACGAATAAAGGAGGTTATTCACACAATTAATAGTATTTTTATAGAACAAAATTTTTAATGAAATAAATAATTCCATTTTATAATGTACATAATTGACTTTTACGAAGTCAATCCGTGAACGGATCGGAAAACGTTATTTTTATAATTTTACATAAAACTGACTTCATTCAGTAAAACTTGTTAATGTAGATTTATTAAAGATATTTCAATGTATAGAATTTCGTTCACTTTTACATTTAACTCGTGGTGGCAACATTGATTAATTTAAAAATCCGAACAATATATCAGCTGGAAGTAATAATATGCACTGATCTAAATTTAGGAGGAACTACATTGGCTTTAGTTCATAACTCAAACAAAATTCGTATGAAGTTACTGACAGTCTTTAAAGCACCAATATTTTAAATATGTGTTACATTGAAATATCGCTAATGTAGACCAATCTTTAAATAACCCCATGCTGAGCCCGTTCAATGGCTACCTAAATCAAATAAAGGTTGCGTATGAAAGTAAAAGATAACTTTAATATTATATAAATAGATTATTTATTCAAATATATACATGTCTGGTTAGATGGTCACAATTTATAAATAAGGGGATAGGGTTGTAACAATGAAATTATGGAAACGAATGTAAAAGTAGAGGTATATAAAGGATATAATACATTTGTCCGTAATATTTGACCTTCTCGTACTTGGTACTTTTGTTTTAATTAACTTGGTACTTTATGTGACTCGGTAAGAATTTTCAAAATATTATAAAGAAACAATAACAATGACGAAATAAAATAATTTATAAAAGACAAGTAAACTTTTAGTGCCATTATAAATTTATAAGGATATACCAAATTTTATGATTAAATATTCATGACTTATAATGTTATAATAACTGCTTTACAAATCGGATTAGATATATCTGTTACGCTTACACGAGATGTTGCTGACTCCAAAATCAATGCAAGTCATATTCAACCAGAATAGTATTTCTAGTCAGTGCTGCAGTACTGACTAGAAATACTATTCTGGTTGAATATCTTAACCATTTAAGGTTTTTAACGGCTAAGAAGAAATACTGACGCCAAATCAGTTGACACTAGGTTATTACCAGCTCAGCTAGTACTGATAAGTCTTGGTAATGCAGTCAGTTTCTTACCTATGTCAGTAATTATCATGTCATCAGTACTAATATTAACGCGACCAAATGTTGTCATATAGCAACTCAGTTTGAAAATTAGAATTTCCTTGTAGGCAGAGAAGGTTTATAAAAGGATAATATGATCAAATTCACACTCGGACTATACAACACCACGTATTTATATAAGGAATCTATGGAGGGTTTTCTTGTATGAAGGCACGACCCATTTATGACGTAAGACTATTTAGATAGAAAGGATTTAAGCAAGATTTAGTTTTCTTACAATGGAGGCAACGGGAGTCTAGTTCTTACGTAAGATCACCACAATGCACAATTTAAGATTATATTAACTTTACTACGGGAATACGTAAGCGGGTGAATTAAAAATGTTATTAGTACCTATAAAATAAATGTTACTGTTAAACATTTTTATTAATTTTTAAGGTTCCATACCAAAACAGGAAAAACGGAACTCTTACTATCACTCGTGTGTCTGTCCGTCGGTCGCAGCTCACAGCTGATTTTCTCCGAAATTCATTGAAATAAAAATTGTGATACAATTTATATAACTCGATGAAATATCTTTATAATGTAAATAAATCTTAAAATGACAGTTTTTTGACATAAAAATTAAAATGGGCTTTTCATGACGATCTTATTTTTTTATATTTCCGAATCTATTCTGCTACCTACCTTTGTAAAAAGAACTTATATTTCCAACACGAAACTTTGACATCATTGCTGAACTCGATTTGCTTCTGACCTCGATGCGTTATGTGTTCAGGAACTAGGTATAAACTCTTGCCTTGAGATTTACCTTGCCTTATAGTATATTTCTATTTAGTTTTTATCAATTTCATATTAAGTCATTATAAAATTATATATCATCAATTATAGTAACCCAACGGTTGGACCAACAATAAAAAATAAATATTGTTTAAATCTTTATCTGTTTTATTATTTCACTGAGTACCCTATAAATACTAAGAAATATTTTTAAAAACCTTAAATAAGTATGATTTCTTATTATTTCGCTAGATCAATTTTTAAGCAATGAGCTCAGCTACTCATACTTAAAATAAATATCAAGGTGTCTGACTTTCAGTGTTTTTTATGATCACTTATTTATTTAATTCATTTTCGGGTGTATTTAATTTGGAAAATATTACGCTTTGAAAACTAAACAAAGTAGGGAAAATATTCTACAAAAATTTGCTAAAATATATATAACATTCATTATAACAGCTATAAACATAAACGCACAAATAACAAAGATTGCCCAGACGTTTTTCCCTACTGTAGCACTGAGTGACGTCATGCCCGATTTCACCAACGTCCCCTAAACTGTTACATAACTATGTGTCCCTTAAAATAAAAGTACCCCTAAACGATCCCCTACATTAGAATATGTTTCACCAACTGAACAGACCCCTTAGTAGGGGACCCATATGTATGTGACAGATTTTTTTCATTATTAAGGATGTGAGAACCGTAACTTTTAACCGATTATTATTTTGAGTCTGTATAAAATATGATTGAAGCTGTGTCAATGTATTGTAATATCAATTAATATAATAATTTTTGGTTTTCTACATACGGGTCATATGTGAAGTAAAAATAAAGAACGAGAACGACTTTTTCATAAGTTAGGGCTGGATAATTGAACTCCTTTGCGTAATAAACAATGTTTTATAAAAAGTCGAAATGACTGTACTACTATTATTGTCAATTTTGTGATGTATGTTTATTTTTTATTTAAATTTAGTGTTAATTTTTTTAATATCCAAGAGGTGTTATCAGCAAATCTCAAACAGAGTACTAAACAATGCACAGATGTAGGCCATCTGTTCAACTAAAAACCTTTACGGTTTGTGTATTACTTTCACATCAAAACCATTGTTTTTGTCGGAACCTTTATTACGAATTACGAATTTGTTATTGTGAATCTTCGTGAATAGATTTTAGTGTTTTAAGGTTTTTGTTAATATCCTTGTATTGTATGTCTACCTTTTGTTCCTTGTTTATTTTTTAAGTATTGTATTGAAAAAGGTACAAGCATACCTTTTTTCAATACAATAGTGAAAAGTGGGGAGTAATGCGGCCAGTTGGTTTAAAAGCTAGGGAATACTTGAAAAAGGTTTATACAATTCAAATTCACAATCACATCACGTCATATTTTCTCCCTGCACCTAGTGTTTAGTTGAAATTTGACAATGAGTGATAAAAGGAAACGCAGTTAAAATTTTACTCTTGAAGAGAAGGATAAACTAGTTAAGATCCTGGCTATGTATAAAGATACTATATTAAATAAGAGAACTGATGGGACTACAAATGAAGCAAAAACAAAAGCTTGGGTCTCAGTTGCAGCTAGATTCAACAGTTCTGCTACGACTCACAGGTAAGTATCCAGATAATCATTGCTAATTTCCAATTTAAAAATGTACAACTGTTATTTAAGATATTTATACATATTTTTTAATATTTACAGATCAAAAGAGTCTCTATTAAGAGTTTGGGAAAAATTGAAAACAGAAGCTAAACTGTATAAAAGTAATTTGAGAGAAAATTTCAATAAAACAGGAGGAGGTCCTTGTATTACCAAAATTGATCCCATTTTGGAACAAGTCTGTAGTATTATGGGGCGGGCTTGTACTGGCATTTTAAATATAAATGATAGTGATGCAGATTTACCATTGACAGTGAATATAGAAAATGTAATAAGTCCATTGGTATGTCTATACGGTCATAGTTATTTTAAATAATACAAAGAAAACAATAACCAAATAATATGATTTTCTTTTCAGCCCACTGATCTAATAAACCCAGTTGCAGCTATCCAGCAGAACACAAATTCAACAGCAGATTTAGTGGTTAGAATTAATTTAATTTTAATTTATATAACTGATAAGTTAAATGGTAACAATTTTTATTAATATAATTTTTATTTTATTATTTTAGGAAACAGAATTTCTAATGAGTAAAGATCCTTTACATGACAATGTCATCAACTTGATGGCAACTGATGACATACAAGTGAGTAAAATAAAATCTCCCTATGTAGGAAACATTATTTAAGACTAATGTCATTGTTTTAATATATACCAAATTTCAGCTTAATAAAAATGTTGCTCCTGCCTCTCCCATTAGTACACCAATTTGGGCAAGAAGACGGAGGCCAATAATTAATCAAACCAATGAGAGGACTGAGGTAGCAAATGTGCTATGTGCAAGCTATGGAGACTTAAACCAAAAAAGGCTGAGCATAGAAGAGTTAAAACATCAACTTTTAACTGAAGAAATTGAATTTAAAAGGGAATTGTACCAGATAAAATTAAAGTCTGCAGAGAAAGATTTGGAAATAAAAACTGAAGTTTTGAAACAAATAAAAAGCAAGTTTATAATTTTAATTCATATTTTATTCAACCAAAGACTAAGTTTATGGCAAATTTAAAAAATATTCAGTTATTTGATTTCTCCGGAAGCCATAAACTGAATTTAATCCATTCACTTGTTGATTAATTTGCCCTTCTTGTATCAGTCGTTCTAAATTAACCAAATGTTCATCATATGGTTCTTGCTCCTTTCGTAGAATGCATATATTGTGCAATATGCAGCAAGCTAGAATAACATTGATTGTTGTTTCCAATTTTAATCTTATTCCAACTGCTAATACAGGAAATCTTCTCTTTAAAACACCATACTGCCGTTCAACCACATTGCGAGTTTTAATATGAGCTTCATTGTATTTCTGCTGGCCTAAATTTGTTGGATTTAAATATGGTGTTAACAAATGAAACTGAAAAAAAAAGTTATTTTTATATATAATAAAAAATATATATATTTTAAAGATTTTCACAAACTAAATTGTTTTATTTCAGATGGAAAGCTTGCTCTTCAGTCTCTACAAGAATTTCAAACACAACAAAATTATAAGTAACTTTAAAAATAAAGTATGACAACTATTATTTTCTTATTATTTAATATAAACTATAACATCATTTACCTTAAGTGGATATCCACTATCACCAAGTAAATAAGCACTTCCATAATCGCCTCTTTCAAATTTCCTGAATCTTTGGCTATTTTGATAGATTATAGCATCATGTGTGGAACCTGGCCAACGTGCCACAACATCAGTTATTAAAAGTTGTGCAGTACTAATTGTCTGAACATTTATTGACATATATGATTTTCTGTTTCTAAACAGCTCTGCATCGTCACCTCCTAAAATGAATACCAATATATATTTTAGGAAGTTATCATATAATCCTTCAATTTTAGGATATTTTGTGTTATTTACCTGGTGATTGTATTTTGATATGAGTACAATCTATACAACCCAATACATTTGGAAATCTGGCAATATTATAAAATTCCCCTTTTATTTTTTCTTGGTCTTCCAGAGTCTCGGGAAATAGTATAAATTCACCTCTTAATTTGACTATAGCCTCTGAAACTTTTTTTATAATTCTACTACTGGTAGCAATACTGATGCCTCCCAAATCGGCTACAGCCAAAAGCTGACAACCCGTTGCATAATAACGTAATGTTATCAGTAGTTGATTTATTGGTGGCACTGAATGATTCCTGAAAACAAATGAGCTTTTAACTGTTTATATTTAATTGAAGAATAACCTTATCTTATTGTTTTATGTAGACTGAATTTCATAATCATTAAATACGTGACTATCAAAGTAAAAACATTTCTTACCTATTGTCATGAAACTCCAAATCCTTTTCTATTTTCTCTAATATAAATAAAACACTATTCTTTGATAATCTATATCGTTTAAAGAAATCCACGTTGTCGTATTTATTGAAATAATCCGGTCGTTCCCGTATTATACGCTGGCGTCTAAATAATGTATTTTCTAATAATAAATCGGAAATTTCAAAACTTTCTACAAAATCAAATAATTCGGTATCCATTCTCTAAACTTAATAACAAATATTTTAACTCTGCGTAACCGACCACTATCTCCTAATAAAACGCTCTTATAAACTGTCACATAACGTTATGGGCTGAATATTCGGTCCCCTAAACTTAGAAGTTCTTTTAGAACCGTAGGGGGCCCCTAAGCGTTGGTGAAACGCAATAACGTAGTTAGGGGTCCCCTAACCAGGTTTAGGGGTTCCCTTAATTTAGGGGACGTTGGTGAAATCGGGCATCACTCAGCCGATTAACAGCAGTTCCATAAACAGCACCGTATCTCAGAAACTATTAATTAACATGCTGTTACTTCTATATTTGTTTATAGACTATTTGACTATACATAAAAAAAAGTGTCAACTAGCCTGATGCAATGCAGATATATTGTGAAAAATCTTAAAATAGTACTCGTATCCTACATAGTAGGCCAGTATTCTCAAGCTTACGAAATAATCTCATCTCAATAGACTCTTAACGATTTGCATTTACCACTGTACTATCGACATAAAAGTCCAATATTATAAGTGCTATGTCCTCCTCACAAATCAATGGTGACAGATATAAAATATTATTGGAATTCAGGTAGATAGTAGGATGACAAATTGCAAGTAGTCGAGACTTTTTGAGATGTATTTTTACGTAAACATCAGCAGAATTGTTCTGCAGCATTGACGAAAAAAATTGTTATAATAAATTTTTCTAAGGGAATTTAAATGGCCAACTCTAACACTCAATCGGCAGTTGCACAAACCTCCATTAAAATTGTCTTCAGTTTAAAGCGACATTACTCATAAAAATTTGACATTCAAGCTTTCGAGCTTCATTAAACCTTAATGGACATTTTTGCAATTGACCGATTGCCTGTTATCAAATATGTTTAATATTTAGAGTAAAAGTCATCACAGTCACAACATTACTGCGATGGGAAATTTACCTTATTATTTCGTAGCGTATGTAGCCACAACCCCGGTATGGTAAATCTTGTAAAATACCGGGTTCATCCATCCACGTGAGGTGGGTAACTACCCGAAGAAGTGAACGTTCACACATCACAGCTATCAACGGTATTAGTTTTGACATAATACATTTGCCTATGCGTTAGTTAGAATGCCTTGAAGTATGAAATTAGCAAAAAGAGGTCAGAGGCCAGATTTGTTTCTTCTTCCCGTAGCGGGTTTTACCAGCCGTCCACACTTTGAACTGCCCTGCTGTTGGTGGCGAAGAGCCCTGGTTTGTGAAATAAGGTGCATTATCCCTGTGTCTAGCAAGGGTAGCAGACCATATTTATGGCGTAGTACTACACGAGAAAGATATTTTTTTGTATTTTCAAATGGTAAGTAAGCAGAAGAACGTAACCAAATAAATAATCTCAGTAACGGTTATTCAAGGATTTCATGTTTTCTTTTGAATAAATGATTATAATTACCTATTTTTTTAAATCTGACGTAAGGATTGTAAGCAGCAATCTCATAGCATTGTTTTGCAAATTCAATGGAATTTTCCTCTACCTTCGATTCGAGTTATATTAAAATATTAAGTTAAATGTAATTTGAATGAGTAGCTCGGTGGCGTAGTGGATAAGTGCCGCGACCCGCGATCGTTGTCGTTAAGCAACTTTCGATAGGGTCAGTCACGGGATGGGTGACAAAAAAATTATTATCTCGAGCTACTCCGTGCTTCGGAAGGCACGTTAAGCCGTTGGTCCCGGCTGCATTACCAGTCGTTAATACCCTCAAATCCGCATTGGGCCAGCGTGGAGGGTCATGGCCCATCCTCCTTTACCATCCATAAGGAAGGCCTGAGCCCCTGCAGTGGGGACGTAAAAGGGCTGATGATGATGATGATGATGATGAATTTGAATCGTGATCAATATCGCTATGTCGCTCTCTCAATCGTTATACCTTTGAAATGGGTCGCTATTATGAAATTGGGCAATTTGACCAAGGACCACCTAACGGTCCAATATATGGACAACTATTGGGTTTCGTTACTGATGTTTATAGCTACACAGAACATCAAGTCATTTTCTCTTTTCTTTAAATTTTTTACGCAGAATACTCTAATTTTATGACTTTGTAGCCAAACGAATTAGCCAAAATTTTGAATAGAGATATACTCAGTATTTTTTTTTTATTAGAATCATAAGTATATATATGTCTCGTATACTTTAATTTTATGCAATACCCAAACAACGCAATCAGTGATGGTTACAAATATGTACATATTTAGTTACTATTTAAGAAATGAATTAGTGTCAAAACACCTACCCCAAATTTAAAATTTATACAATTCATTTTTAAGCTATTTTCTAACACTTTACGATTTAAAATATAATTGGAGATTGATAGTTTTGCATTCTCTTTCGTGCTGTCGTCAGTACACACTTGCGTCAGTATTAAGATACAACACAGTAACAAAAGCTAATATCAATTGAAATTACAAGTTATCATTTTGTTCAATAAGATATTGAAATAATCTCACTTTTATCTTATACACCTACTAAATAATTATAAGACATTAAGGGGAAGACTGTATCCAAAAATATGCAAAATCAAGCATAATGTTGTACCTATATAAGTAGTATATTACAGGAACATCCAACTATTACGCGGTCGCCGAGCAGGAAGATTTTCGTACAATAATTACGTCTAATTCTTTTAACCGTTCTATTATATAGTGCATGGTGAGTCTTCTTTTGCACAGATTATATTTTATTGAGTCTTATTACAATAAACATAACGTGAAATTTTCTACGCCGTCGTCCATTGCACTCGGTGAAGTTAATTCGAGAGGGCGCGCCGATCGCCAGATGACGCATTATAATTCAATCATTCTCTGATTTTGATTGGTCGAAAATTTGTGGAGAATTAACCTTCTGGGCAAGTACATTGGTGAGCCAGATTACATGTATTATACTATCTTTACTGTATTATTCACACGGTTGCACGCCAAGCTACCACAGTATATCAAAAATTGAACACTACCTACAATATAATATGGTTTGAAATTATGTAGAAAATTTTGACAATTTTGTATGACCTGACATGTTGTTGACAGTAATGACTAAATAATGGTTGCAATATTTTGTTAAAAAATTTAAGTTTTGACAAAATTTTAAAGAAACAATTTTAAAGAAACACTTAAATCAACTACATCATATCATTTTGAATGCCTTTGAACCGACATAATTAATTACCTACATTAATAGTAGGTAAACTTGAAAATCTGACTTAACTTTTTGTGTAACAACATAAAAAAATAAAAAAGGCTATGCAGTATGTAATCGAATTCGTACTGTAAAATTTTCCAGTTGTTGGCACACAAACAAATACAAAGGACAAAACAAGGTCAATAAAAAAAAGAAAAAACATCTACGAGAACATTAACAAGACAACACACTTGCATTATTAAGGAACCTTCTCTTTAACTTGAAGGCGGTCAGCTCTTCAAAAGTACCAGACTTGAATAGTACTGGTGAAAGTGGTAACGAGGTAACTCGTCGCAATCGCAGTTACTCAGTATTCTCGCGCTAGTCGAATGTCTGCCGCGACTCGTCAAGACTTAAGACAATTTTCCAATTCTGTACATTACGTACTAAACAACTGCATCCGTTCTTAATATTTGTGTTGTGTTACTTTTCTGTGATAATGGACATCGAAACTGGCAAAGACGATTTAAGTTTCGAAGATGGAAAACTTGTTGTGTTTACTGATATATCATGGAAGATCACAAAAAGTCAGAGTAAGCGATCAATGTGTTATTAAACTTTTTTAAATTAAAAAGGTCTCATGTTGTTTGTCTCCAAGTATTTCTAATTTTAATCTAGGTTTATTTGAACGTTATTTGTATGTCACAAGTTCCTCATCTGAAGAAAACAAATATATTCCTCTATTATATTATATAATAAGAATGGAAAACGCAGCTATTAACGATATTACAAATAAAAATCTACTTTGTGCAAAATATTATCATTACTTTAATAAATATTTTTATATAATCGCTTAATAATATATAAATGTACTGATTGCGAAAGTTTTGTGTCTCATTATTTTTAGTTTTTATTTGAAAGTATTTTCATCTTAAAATCAAATGTTTATCTGTATTATGTTGAGTTTACATCAATGTATCTTGGCACTGTAGACCGATTCAACTTGACAAACCGGCACGAACTAACAATTTTTCAGTAAATAATTAAACTAATTTAGATTTTTGTGAGTTGTCATAAATGATTATTATGTGAATATTTTTATATAACACCGGAACTTGTTTAAAAAATCTAATTAAAATAGATTAATATTATCTTATTTAAAACATAACGCAGGACTGATAACTAGTATGTACTTTACAAAGTATCTACTACAACTGTAACTAAATCAAATATTTTTCTTAAAGATAAATACTCGCATCGATATAATAATTTGAATACAAAACTTATTGATAACAACAAAATCCCTTAAAATTTATTGGACAAAATTTAACTTGTAAAATTATGTTGTAGGACGTTAAATAAATTCATCAAATATGATATACAGCATTTCTTTTTTAAAGGAGCAATAATTGATTTATCGAAATATTGTTGTAGTAGTTCAGAACATAACATAATATTTTCTTATCAGTAGTACCAATAGACTAAGATACCCTTTGACCTTAAACTGGGTTCCTAATATTATAAATAATATATGTAATGATTAATACTACAAATAGTAGCATCTTAAATCATAGAAAATTTGAGGGGAAACGAATTTACTAACTAATTAATACATACATTAAGTAAGTAAGTATATTCCTGTTAATTGGACCTACAGTTCTATCATATTTGTTCAATTTTACGACTAGCCACAAAACATCTTCGCGAAGACGTCATTAATGGTAATTGGTCAGAGGTTTTTGACCGAAACTCCGTGGATGTTAAACTTGAGTTTTTCATAACGACACTCACTGCATTATATGATACTCACGCACCAATTCATCCGGCCCAAATGAAGCACCGTCCATCGCCATGGCTCACTGATGAGATAAAACTTTTATCTGAACGTAAAGCCTCAGTCAAAACAAAATACAAATGCCGGCCCACTTTATTCAATTGGGAAAAATACGTTAATCTAAACAAATACTGCAATAAGGTGTGTAGGAATACACAACGCCAATACATTCATAACTCTGTTGAAAACGCAGAACCAGCAAAAGTCTGGAAATTTTTAAATTCCATGGCCATCGGTAGACAACGTCATACACCTACTTCCAGAGTTCTAGAGCGACTTGTCAATTATCAGCTATGCACTTTCCTTCATAAAAATCACCTCCTCAATCTTTATCAGTCTGGCTTCCGTACTGTGTAAATATATAGTACTAAAACGGCTTTGGTAAAAGTTACCGTTGACATCAGATCAGTATGGAAGATGGAAAAGTTACGATTCTGTGTTAACTTGACGTAAGTAATGCATTCAACACCATAAGCTTTGATGTTTTGCTTAGTGTATTACGCTCTCTTAACATATATTCAGTGGTGATTGACTGGTTTCGTAGCTGCCTGTCTGATCGCCGCCAGCGAATCCGCTTTAGAGAATCTTTCGGGGTGCCTCAGGGTAACGTTCTATCTCCGTTACTTTTTGCCATTTTTATTAATTGCATTTTCTAACAGTTAACTTCGTCCTATCACCTTTACGCAGATGATTTGCAAATAATTTCGCAAGCCCATATAGACCAAATTTCTCAAACCGTGAGCCGAAAGGTGTTTACTGCGGCGGGATCTTTAAAAAGGCTTCGTAATTTTTTTCGAATGACTACTAGAACTGCAGCAATCTTTATTACTTTTATAAAGACATCCTTTATATACATATATTGTTTCTCTTCTTTACAGTGTTCTGTTTAATGCTTTTTCACCAGCTTATCTTACGAAACGTTTTAAATTTCTTCATTAATACACACACTAGAGTTTTGAGGTCATCAGAGAACTTGAAATTGTCAATACCGATGCATGCCAGTAAATTCATTGATGAATAATTTACAGTCCAAGCTGCACGTCTTTGGAAAGCATTGCAAGAAAATATCAGGCGTGCTAAAAGCGTGGCACACATTTTTAAAGGACTAGTCTAAGAGCACTATGTGTCACTCACTCTGAATCCCGTCTGATTCTTATCTATCATCTAAAAGCTTATATGTATCTTATATAATAAAAATATGTATTATTATAGTATTCGATTACTTATTATTTTGTGTATGTACTTAATATATTTATTTATTCATTAAATGTATCTAAATGTACGATATTTGAGACACCATAAGCTATCTTAATCTAATCTAGATATAATTTTGTTCAGTTCGCAAGGTTGCCTGTAAGAAATTACTTTTCAGTAATAAGGCCGCCAATTGTGCATTTAAATTTATTGTATCCATATGTTTGTTTTGTTCATTGGTGTATAATAAATAATTTTTCATTAATTCATTCAAAATGGCAAGACGAAATTTTCAAAAATCACTTTTAAAAATAATGGGGAAAGAATAACCTATATCAAAAAATAACGAGATCAAAAGGAGAATGGGCAATTTACTATGAGAGTTCGGCTATTTTAGCGTAATCGTGCACATCGTTGAAACCAACTACAAAAAGAAAATGAGTAGGAAAAAAAACCATTTTAAAATTATGCCGGAGTTTGAGAATATCTTAATTTTTAACAGAGATTTTGAGGTTATGTCGTTATAATATCTACGTATATAAGAGCAATAAAATTAATAATGTGTTTCAAGCAATCGATTACTAACGGATATTTAATTGCGAAAAAGTACATATCTATACCTATATTATAAAAAGGAAAAGATTGGAGTTTTATTGTAAAGGATAAACTCAAAAACGACTGCGCTGATTAAAAAATAGTCTTTGATTTATATAACACCTGACCAACATTATCAGAATTAAAATACTTTATTTTAATATACTTTATAAAGTAGTGGTAGGAAGTTCGCGTGTCAAGTCGATTAATAACTTGAAACTTAGTAGGTAGTCGTAGTTATATTGTAGTAGGTAGGTATATACGCACCGCTAAAGAAAATATTTTAACGAATGTATTACCTAATGGAATCTTGTTATATTTATGTATAACACCGCTTAAACACGCATGTATATTCCTCCGTGACGTCACGATTAATTCCGTCAGCAACTATCAATACCCAAATCGCAGTACCCAATCAAGAGTAGCTACGAAACGGCACAATTATAATGTCGATTTGTCGCGATTGCGTTCGATAGTAAGGGAACCAAGTATGTAAAATAAAATTGAAACAAATGTATTTATGTACTTCTTTATTGATCATCATCATAAAATAATGGAGTATATTTGCATATGCCTTTACGAAAAAGGCGATCAGCCTTATCGAGTTTATTGTTGCATGGTTGAAATTTATCCAAGGCCCTATCATGAGTCTAAATTAGTCAGTTTAGCAATTGTTTTAATAAGGTTAATTTTAAACGCCGCATAATTTAAAAAAATACTATTTATATAAAATATATTATAATAAGAGAGAAGATTTTTGATAAATAAATGCATAGTGCGCAATTTGCGTAATTTTAGCCGACTTCTGCCCATTCTCCTTTGCCTCTTAGTTACAAAATTACACATGCACAAAAGGTCGCTTTTTGCACATTGGAGGATAATTTATAAGCAAATCGACCTTTTTTAGTTACAACCCGGCAATCACCATCAGTACTTATTTGTATTGTGCTAAAAGCCATATTTGGGTATGCGTCTGTTTAGTAATAAAGAAATGTATATGCTATTATTTTTATAAGATTATGATTAGTTTTGTGAAAAGTCTTTTTTGTTCAAAATATAATTCTGCTACCGCAGTAATATTTCTTTTCATTTTTTTTTTCTTTAAATACCTAGTTCTACTACAATTTAAAATTGAGGTTTGGTAAAACATAACCGTAATATATAATTAAAAACCGTAATATATACTAGCGTTAATGCTCAGCTACACAGTACAAATATATAAGTAAGTTCACTCGAGATCTGTGCGAAAGATAATAGCCTAAACTTCTAGGGCTGTTGCTTATAGGTTATTCAATCGTCAGAAATGCATGGTCAATCAATCTCTAAAATATACATAGTTTCCCCCGGTATATTAAGCATCCGGGAACTATAATAGAACTTGTTAATGTTTTTTTTTAATATATAGACCAAGAGTTGACTACAATTTCTTCATATCTATTTCATGTCATCAATTAAGTGTTTTGTAAAATTAAAACGTGGTTTTAATGAATTATGTGTTTATTCATTTATTTCCAAGTAATCAGGCTACGAACAAAATAACACAATGCCGATCTTAATTTTCCCTATGTATGCTTATGAAGAGAACTTATTCTTTATACTCTGTCAGCTAGCCAGCGTCAGAGTATAAAAGTACACCGAAAATGGTTTGTATATGAGCGCGTCCGTGCGTATGCGTCATCGTACGCACACACTTGCAAAATTATCGAAGTTATAGGAGTTCAAGGCACAAGTGGCAACTCGCCAGTCGTGTCTAGTATGCCGTGTTTGCGTATATTCCGCGCACTGTATTGCTGCTCGTTATAAAATTTCTGTACGCAAACAAGATGGCTTTGACAACTAAACCAAAATATTGTATATCACTACATAATATAAAAAGAAAAGTCGCTTTCTTTGTCCCTATATCCCTATATGTATGCTTCAATCTTTAAACTACGCAACGGATTTTGATGCGGTTTTTTTTTCATAAATAGG